GCTTTTATTTCTCCTTTTATTCTTTCTCTCTCGCTTTACTTCTCTTTTATTCTCTCTCTCTTACGTTCTCTCTCTCTCGCTCTCTTTTTTCTGTAAGTACACATACCTTTTTAATACGTTTTTCTTCTAACTTACTATGTCATTATTCTGAAGTTCTTTCTTCTTTCTCTCTGTAGGCGAACGTTGTCTGCGTTGTTTATGATGTCACAGATTTAGATACTATTGAGAAGGTAAGCACTACTTTTCAAAAACAAAAATTAAAACTGTAATTTCAATAATTGCAGCAAGTGTGACAGTAGAGATCATTGAGCCATTCATACCAGTTACTTCCCCCAAATGAGCTAATACCCTCATGTTCTCAGCACCCAAAACTCTATGGCCAACTTAGTCAGAATCCAGCTAACCTTCCAGTATTATTTTGGGTTGTCGGAGGATGCCTCGTGTGCAGCTGGAACTCTTGCCCTCCCGCCGCCATCCCTATGTATGCATTACTTTGTAGGGCACCAAGAGAGAGTACCAAAGCTATGACTTTTTGATCATGTTTGGGGTTCAGGAAATCCCAAGTTTGTGGTTCTTCCTGTTTGTACTACTAAATACATCTAACATCCCTTTAAAGGGAACCTGTACTTTGTAATAGGCAATTCACTTCATAGCAGTCACAATAAGCATGCTGTAACAACCTGCAACCCTGACCACTATAAAATACCTTCTCTTCCTATGGATGGGGCACACATGACTCTCCCCTGCCTCCCTAGAGCAGACCACTCTGAGCACCCAATCTTTGGGCCCGGGGGCTGACATGTGAGGGTAGGTGGGGAGTTATTTTTTGGATGATTTCACACTGCAGATATACAGCTATGAAGCTCAAGGCACACAAGTGTCTGGGTATCCTCACGTGTCAGGAGGAACTCTAGAAGAAGGTACATTTTCAGGGTACTTTTTAGTCACAATTAACACTTCTAAATGCTCCCTATTAGGGCTGCAACAACTAATCGACATAATCGATTATTGAAAAAGTTGTCAACTTTTTCAATAATCGATTAATCGGCTTCCGATCAGTTGGCCCTGTTCACAGCTCCACACGCTGTGCGCCGCACCTCCTCCCCACCTCACGCTCGCCGCTGCCAGACCCGCTCGCATCCACGCTCCACGCGCCGCACCTCCTTTAGTAGTCCCATCACTGGAGCCATTTTTTAAAATTTATTTTATTGTTTATCCGATTAATCGAATTTAATAATCGGCTAACTAATCGATTTTGAAAATAATCGTTAGCTGCAGCTCTACTCCCTATAACATAGCATATCTCCCCTTTCTGAGTTCAGGTGCACAAGGAGATAAGAGATAAATCATACACTAGTAACCAGTTTATCATCTTTATGTCCTTTACTCAGTCCACCTCTAGGTTCCTTCCTAAAGCAGTAAAAGTCGGATTGATTTTTTTTCTTTAGAATGAACGAACATTGAGGCATTTAGCAATTTAAACTAGGGATGTACCTATGCTAGTATCGATGCCCATACCGAGTATCTGGGCGAATTCTTGTACTCGCCCCAAATGCTCCAATACCTTTCCTGATACCGGAACTTCCAGTCAGAGGAAGATTTTCTCTGACCGGCAGTGCCGTAGGGGAACATGGAGCCAGCTCCCCGGGCAATCGGAAGCCAGGTGGCGAGTAACAACCTGTCTCCCGGCTTCCTGGCCAATCAGCATCGAGCCGGCCGAACAGCCGGCTCGATGCTGATTGGCTGAGAAGCCGGCTTCACAGCCAGTCAGCATGGAGCCATCTTCCCGGCCAATCAGGAAGACGGGAGGAGGGTCATTATTTGCAGCCGGCTTTCTGATTGGCTGGGAAGCCAGCTCGATGCTGATTGGTTGGGAAGCCAGTTTCCCGGCCAATCACAGTAGAGCTGGCCAAACAACATGAGCAATCAGAAAGCCGGGTGGCATGCCATTACCCGCCGCCCGGCTTCCCGATTGCCTGGGAAGCCGGCTCAGTGCCAGCCGAAGCACCGGTATCGGCGAGTACGGAAAGCAAAATACCGGTACTCGATACTGAAAAACCAGTATCGGTGCATCCCTAATTTAAACCCTTACAATTAAACCACAAAAAAAATATTGCTTGGCTTGAATTGCCTGCCCACTCCCTTTCAAGAATAATGTACACAGTAAAAGTTTCTGGTTCAGTAATAACATCATAAGTTGTAAATGGTAAAATTTACACGTAAGGCACCTAATGGATTTTTTTAAGGAAGATTTCTTTTCTAGATCTCCACCAAGTGGATTCCTCTGGTCAATGGCAACGCAGATCGCAATTCCAGGTAAAATGCCTATTGTAACACTCTCCCTACTCCGAATAATTCCGTTCTTTCTAAAACCAGATAGATTTGTGTATTTTGTCTTCCATCCAGACTTCCCATAATCCTCGTGGGGAACAAATCAGACCTGCAATGTGGCAGCTCCATGGAGTCCATTCTGCCCATCATGAACCAGTTCTCGGAGATTGAGACATGTGTAGAGGTGAGGATCTGGATCGTGACATATGTGGTGTGGTTCTGAGTGTCGTAGTTTGAGTGTGACGATGCCTTTTTTTTTTTTTTTTTTTTTCTCCCGTTTTCTCCTAGAAACCGCAAACACA